GAGATACCGCTATAGTCAATATATACTGCTGAGTCGGTTGATATGACTATAGAGTCAGCAGATACTACCATAGAGTCTGCAGATATTACCATAGTCATTAGTTACTGCTATAATATTAGTCGTTACTACTATAGTGAGTGGATACTACTATAGAGTCATTAGATACGACTAGATTCGGTAGATACTACTATAGTCATTAGATACTACTGTAGAGTCAGTATTTACTACTATAGAGTTGGTTGATACTACTATAGAGTTGGCAGATTCTACTGTAGAATGAACAGATACTACTATAGAGTCACTAGATACTACTCTATTGTGTGTAGGTATATGTGCGGGGGGGGGGGGTAAAAATATTTTTTGAGGGTGGGGGGGTCGACAATTTTCGGAAACCTTTTAGATAAACTATTTACCCGCCACTTTCTATTACTTTTTGATTCAGGACTTCTTCAAGCCTCTTATAATTTTGTTGATGGACAAATGGGCAAGTCAAACCGAACGCCAGGCTTTCACAATAGCTTCGTATTTGTGTATATATGTTATGTTTTAAAGATAAGTTTTGGAATATATTTTCCCCCCGGGCAACGCCAGGTACTTCCCACTAGTACTCTACAGAGGTGTGGACTCGAGTCATGTGACTTGGACTCGAGTCAGACTCGAGTCATGAATTTGATGACTTCAGACTCGACTTGGACTTGCATAACAATGACTTTGTCCCACCTCTGAGGTGTGGACTCGAGTCATGTGACTTGGACTCGAGTCAGACTCGAGTCATGAATTTGATGACTTCAGACTCGACTTGGACTTGCATAACAATGACTTTGTCCCACCTCTGGTACTCTATATATAAATGAGCCAGTATGAGGGTCACTGGATACCACAACACCTCGGCATATTATGTGTATTTCACCTCATGTTCAAGTAATACAATTTCCAGGGTTGCATGTCTAACATATAATGACTTGAAAGTCCGATCCAATTGCTGTTAAAGGGGTTCAGGGAAAAATAGTAAACTCATATTGCATAACACATTGTGTTCACTATGTTTGAAGCTTTCGTGACTGCAAGGATTCAGTACTCTTAGTTCTTTCGGTAAAGTCGCGTAGGTAAAAAATGAAATAAAAATTAATAAAAATAAAACAATAAAAATAAAAAATCACGACGTTTCGGAGGCAACGCAATTGTCCGTCATCAGGTGGGACCGTCACAGCCAGATTTGCTGCATCAAGTGAGGCAAGGATTCAAGATGTAAGCCCTTAAATGCAAGTTGAGGGGGGAGGAGAGGGGGGGGGGAGCTCATCCCGATACGTTCCATTCATTGGCTACCACATTCTGATAAGCTCCCCCCCCTCTCCTCCCCCCTCAACTTGCATTTAAGGGCTTACATCTTGAATCCTTGCCTCACTTGATGCAGCAAATCTGGCTGTGACGGTCCCACCTGATGACGGAGACTTGTGTTTCCTCCGAAACGTCGTGATTTTTTATTGTTTTATTTTTATTAATTTGAATTACATTTTTTACCTACGTGACTTTACCGAAAGAACTAAGAGTATGTTCACTATGTTGTTAAAGTTGAAGTAAGGATCTGAAAGCCTTATTAGATTACAGTTTACATGAGTGATTACAAAAGTAACTATCAACCTTTTGTCAATCCACTGCTGGATGAAGACCTTCCCACATTGTCTTGGCCGTGGGGGTTATTTGACCTTGCTGCATTAGGCTGGTCAGTGCAGGTTGGGTAAGGGAGAATCAAGGACTGGTTCAGCTATAATTCTAAACTGGTGTGGGACTTAACGGGGAATCGAACTAAGGTCACCATCTTCATAGTGCAGTACGCCATCCACTATAATGTTAATGGAAAATGTTACGTCAAATATTTTTCTTCAAATTAAAATATATTTTGCACATGATAATTGGTTCTTTACCCTTCTATTTGGCAACAAAACTGACACCTTTTTGCAAGGAGTCATGTTTGCATAGACCGCAATACCTGCAGTCATAAATACAAACAAAAGACATAACTCTGATAATGTGCACTGTCCTTGAAGTTGATTGGTCCACACCCGAGACAGCTTTCCTTCGAGCCTAGTCTCATATGGGTTGGACCAGATGACGCCAAAAGGCGCACAAATGAGGTCCCCATAGTATATTTTGCACATTTAACTTTGTAGAGATGAAGTATTAAAATATGTAATTAATTGGGGTTGACTAACATGTGATGAACTTTACTCTCAGTGGCAGAGCAGGTGGAAAAGTGCTGTCCTCTTCTATGTGAACCAGAGGTTACTTGGGAGGGATCTCAAGAGGTAGTTCTGTGATATCTGCTTCCCTTGGGCCGTTCGCTAACTGCTCAGCGAGATTTCCGGATGGATGTTTTGTCACATAATGTGATGACAGCACAAAGGCGATGAAGCTGGATTTAAAAAAATACCAGATGTGTACACTGTGGAAACCAGTGGGTGAGTAATATGGATAATGCCAAGAGACTCCACCAGGGGTCAGTACGGCGCTTGGTAATTTAAAAACATCCGTTTGGCTTGTACAGTATTATGGAGGCGTTTGTCAACCACTTGGACAACGCCACAGATAAATTTTAACTTTCTTTGAAGACACTACACTGAGTGCACTTACGTGGAATGTTTCTTTCTAATGGTTTATTCTTAATCTGCTTTTTATGTCATAGGCCAATATTATTGATTTAATAATGTACAATCTTTGTTCAGTAAGTGAATGGTGTAGGGCAAAGCATCGTGCTATGATGGTAATAATACAATAAAAAAAACCTTTTCAGTACAAGTGTAAATACATTTTTTGCACCATATACGTTTTTGGTTGAAGTATTCCATATTCCTTTGATATAGTCAATTCACACATTACATGAAACATTCTTTATGATGTTGCTGCATTCATAAAAAGGTGTCTTGTGCTTACGTCCTCGTCAAACCCTCTCAGACTGCTTTGTGAGGTTTGGTGTTTGGCCAAAAAGCATACAAATCGGTAACTTTCCCATAAATACCTTCTGCCTGTCAAAACAAATTGAGTAGTTGCAAAGGAAGGGCATTGTTGTAATATGGATACCATTGTTTTCACAATGAATGTTTTTGGGTCTCATTCTCAAACAAAGAATGTCGTAGAGATGATGAAATAGGAAAAGATGAATAGGGGCACTGGACTGTCTTGCACTTGTCATGCAAAGCACATTGTCATGAGTATCGCTGTATGAAAGGTATATTTTCACAAGCCTCCCCTTGCGTACAATAGCAATACGTTGTTGAGAGTAATGGCTGAAGAAGAGCTATATAAGTGTCAGTCATGCCTAAGTACAACCTTGGTGTTGTTCGTTGGACATACGGCAATTAAACGTGCACACCGACTGATGTGATTAAACTATCGCTGCTATTTCCATTGCTTTACCGAATGTAAGTGGTAATGAACGATTTAAAAGCATTGAACACGTTGGCTCTTTTTTGCAGGCGAGAGCCCCCGTTTTCCGCAGTGAATGTTCTTCATTCGGAGGCCCCCGTCCCATGTGGCTCTCGCTGTGAAGCGTGCGTCGAGGCCCTGGGGCATATGGGCACAGTGCGCTCTTCTGTTTGCGGCCCCCGTTATTTGGGGGGTGGATAAGGGCCAAGTCTCGCTTATAAGTACGGCATTATTTGAGTCAAGTTGGATTTGTGAACAGCATGTCGAATGTATAGTGAGATCGCCTTGTTTCCTGTCTACTTAGCTTGGCATGCAAGAAGAGGGCTTTTCCCCTATTTTAATTGAAAGTCAAGGCTAAGGTTGATTGTAATACAGCCCAACTGATAATTAATCCTACAGTGAGTGATGCTATAGGTCTGTTACGTTTGGCACATAACCTCTTTTGGTAGATGTGATTTTTAAAAATAGTATTACTTGAAAACCTATATCATTCTTAGGGTATTATGCAAATCTAATTACTTTCATTGTGGATACATTTTGAGGATTAATATATTAAGTGTGCTATTATCACATAGCTGAAAAAATGGCGAGGTGCATATTATTCAGTAGTTTCAGTTTCACGTATTAAATGTAGTAAAATTAATATTTATTTACTCCGTAAATGTTTAGTTTTCCTAAAACATAGTTATATGAACATGTACGTGCAAACTCACACATTTAGTTTTGCTCATACTTTTAGTTTAAAAAGTAATAAGTTGAATGGTAAAAAATGTTGAATAGAAAAGCAGGCGTGTGGAAATTGCGACATGGCTGTTTGTGAATGGCTGGGTTTACAGTGTTGTTATTGCCAAATGGATAATGGGTTAATGATGAAAAAGCCACTGTCACGGGCATGGTGGTATACTGCCAGCATAATTAATATTCTACGAGTCGCTTTAGTCGGTTACCGAAAACCGCTGTGGTTTGTTTTAGATTTCATATAAAGAATTATCGAGACAGGAACGAAAAGTGTGGCATCGTTCCTGGCTTGCACGCTTCTCAATTAATTTCACTCCCAGTTTTTTTGTCCTGTTTCCTTCAGGAAAGTCTGAGCATCCGTCCCCTTTCACCTCGCGCACAACCTATTTCGGTGTGTGTATTTCACATTTAACCCGGTTAGACAGTACTGTAGAGCAATAGCCAGTTTTGTCGAAACAACAAAAATATGGTGTGTGAAGATTGCCAAGGCACCCCCGGCTCGCTTGCTGCTGCTGCTGCCAGCTGTGTGCGCGCACGCACGGCACTGACTAAGAGACGTCCGCAGCATACCGCACTGTGTGGGCTAGATGCTAGTTTCCCAGTGGTGCTGACGCCAAGACCACACCCAGGGGAAACCTCGTGTTGATTTACGGCACACAGGATGTGTGTGGTTTTTTTTCTTCCCTGGGAGGCCTTGTTGAAGGGCAGCAGTTAGCCCGAGCTCCCGTGCAGAAGCCCGATTGGTATGCGTCGACGCGAAGTCGTCCGCTTTTTTTTGTTTGCCGGTGGCTATAAAAGCCACGTAGAGGGTGGGAGGAGGGTCGGGTCTGTAGCCATGGTTTTTTTTTTGTACCCACCCGTGCTCGATTCAGTCTTGGCCGGCATTCGCTACGGTCGGGCGGCCACTCCCAAGTGCCCCCCGTCCCTTTAGCCTCCGGTTAGCCTTGGCGGACTTGGATTGTTGAACGAAGGAGACTGCGCAACGTGGAGTTTTCTTTATTTATGTGACTACTGGTAGAACAAAAAAGGGCACGCCAGCGGCGCGTTGTCACCAACGTTGGCAGGGTCACGGACGAAAGACGTCAGTTTAGGTTGTGGGCAAACACCGTTCGGACCTCGTCAAAGCTCTTCTGTAAGCGGACAAAGAAAACATTGTCAGGACCGTGCAATCGAGTGGAAAATCGGGCACGTAAGAGGCCGAGGCGGACTATGTCTGCACGGATGCTCTGCGGACTGTACGTTAAAAATAGTTCGCATTCCTTTCGGCGACCCACGTTGGTTTGCGCCCGTGAGCTATTTGAATAGAAGTTCAAGTAACGTGGGTATCGCAGATTGCTTGGGTTTTGAACAACGCGGGGTAATATGACTGCTCTCCCGAGGAGGCATCCTGTGTTTTCGTCTTCGCACGCTACCGGCGTTTCGACGATGGCTAGCGGCAATCTGCCGGCGGAGGCCTTCCAGCATGCATCCCGCCACGAGGCAAGGCTATTTTAAAGGAAGGAGTGACGCGGATGAGGAAAGCTTCATTGGGTGTGGAAGGGGGTGGTGTGGGTGGCTTTTCTGTAACGGGGACAGGACCTTCGGAATGAGTGGAAGGGGAAATGCGCCGATCATCTGTGTGGAGCCTTCCTTGTCGGCGCCACTTTGAAGACATTTGGACACCTGATTTTGCAGCCGTCGGGCGGACATGAAGCGCGTGTGCGTGGTGGTGTTGGAGGAGGAGGGCGATGTGCCCGTGCAGGTTTTCACGCTTCCCAGGAGAGATATCGGCAGGAGACGGCGTACTCCGGCACCCTGCATGGTGGGCAAAAGATAAAAAAAAATCTGTCTCCGTGGAACTGTGGCTAAAAACGTGGTACTGTACGCTTTAACGTTTAATGTGTAGTTGAACATTACCGGTGTAATTGAGCTTGTGGTAACAAGTTACCGGCTATGCGTTTGTGTGCATCTGTGTCAGATTACAATAGAACTTTGCCGGCTCCGTTTTTCTTTTGTCATGCAAATGTAAAAAATGCCTTCGACTATTGTTAATTTTTATTTCTCTAAAATTTCTATCTTTGATGTGTGAATATAATTTTGTGAATGTTTTTGTAATAAACTTTCAAACGGTATATATGCTTTTATTATGTAAACAATCTGCACTAGAACTTTCTATTCGTGCTGCATCCAGTGTAGCGGAGTGAAATAATGCGGTTTTCTCCCAAAAAACGAAATCGCTGCTTGTATTCAATGCAATGTTTGCCCGTCACTTCTAATTGTTGAGATTCCACTAACACAAGGATTTCATCATCCGCCATGATTTATCTACTGCTGCATGACGGCCTCTTATCACCATCACAGTTATGTGATGCAACCGTCCATGTCACTTTAGCACACGAGATGATCGCAGTACTTTTTCTTTTGACAGTCGTCGGCTCGGGCTTTTTTCTGTCTTTTGGCTGCCATTCCGTCTTCAGTCTCGATTATTGGCCATCGGCCATCATCTCTAACAGCGATGTCTCTCCAAACCCATATAGTTATGTTAACAGGATGATGTCTAAATTTTTATTTAAAGCTTTCGTGACTGCAGGGATTCATATTCTTGGTTCTTTCGGCAAAGTCACGTAGAAGGGAAATAATAAAATAATAAAAATATAAAACAATAACATTTTCACGACGTTTCGACTGCAACACAAGCAATCATCATCAGGTGTGAAATCCACAGCAAGAAAAAAATGTAAAATTTTCTTGCTGTGGAATTTAATTGTTTAATATTTTTTATTCTTATTTTATTATTTCCCATCTACGTGACTTTACCGAAAGAACATAGTATGATGTCTCTAACGTGTTCTTGTTCTGATCCAATCTGTACCTCTTTCTCATTGTAATTTCAAGCATGTTCCTTCCAATGATTTTTGTACACTTTTCGGCTTATGTTCCATTTTATTTGTCGTTCAAGTTTTAGACCCATGTATCGTAGCAGATAATATGTAGTGACTGAATTGTTTTGATACTTGATATTTAGATTTTCATTTTTAAGTTCAGTGTCTCTCCTCCTGCTTGTCCCTTTGTTTCATTATTTTGATCCTGGTTCTCGTTCAGTAATTGCCCTCGACATACACACTCTGATGGGGTTATTTTCATTTGATAATAGTTTTTTCCCCTTTTTCTGGCAACAAAACAGGTGTTAAGATGTTAAAACACCAAACTGAAACATTTTACAAGGAATCATGTCTGCATTAACCACAATGCTTGTGGTCAGAATGCAAACAAAAAACATACCCTCCAACGAATATTTTCATTTGTTGAGTAAACCCATATGTTACTTTTGTTTTATTTATGTTTATCTTGAAACCAATATTCTTTATTACAATCAATCATTAGACACATTCATTTCAATTGCTTGTTAAATGACTGCATCATCAGCAAATCAGAGATACTAATAGTTTTGCCATTCATATATCCTTACTGGACTCCCAATGTGATATGCAATTTGTTTCTTTGTTCATTCTAAGTTTAGTTCTTCCAAAGAAGTGAGACCAGCTGTTCGGATAATACGAGGGCCACCTTATAAAATGTTTATACAGGAATTAAATGCTTCTCATTCGAAATAAATACAACTGATTTGAACAATTAGATACCTATTAGTCCCCCTTTACATGTTTATAAATTGTTTACAGATATTATTAGGAATAGAATAATGGGCAATTTAGAAGCCAATCAATCATGTGAATCAACGTGATTTCATAAAGGTTTTTATACCAAATATAGAGAAAGTTCTCTAAAATAAACATGAATATCAAATATTACGTCTAGCTGTTTTAGACGATTAAAAGTTATTTGAATCGGAGGGAATTGAAATTATCCAAGCTCTTAAAAACCAAGTTCTCAATGAAATATTTAGACTTTATGAAAAAACACTTTACAAGTTAGCAATTTGAAATTCCTTTGTCAAGTCCTGTGTTGTTAAACAATAATCCGATATTTCTTCACTTAATCGTTTAAGATGTTAATGTAAAATGATGAGAGTAAATGTTTTTATGACAGTTCTGTTTGCTATGTTGCCTTTGCTGTATAGGAAGTCGAGACATGCTGCGTCGTTTATTCTGAAGGAGATCAGCTGGCATGAGTGCATGTGTGCGGCTTCTGGTTTGTGAATGCCTTGGGCTTTGGTTGCTATGTTCCCAGGCTCCTCTGATCCAAGCGATATTTAACGGAGACCCAGATGAGGTGCGCTCGCTCATCTACAAGAAAGAAGAGGTGAATGCCGTGGTAAGGGCCGTAATAACTGATCGACTGCAGGATTGGTGAAACATTGTGCAGACAGCCGGAGCTGCCTAGCACAGACTCCTATTAAAGAAGAAAGAACACGGATTCCAGCGGCAATATAACTAGCCGCTCATAAAGACACTGGTGTTTTCGCTGGCTACATGAGTCACCATTCTGCTATGGAATTATTGATATTGCATTTACCGGCAGCTCCATGGGTTCTAGAGCAGTGATGGAAATGGGGCTCGACGTGGAATGTTTTTTTTATATACATAATGGCAGAATGCCTGCAAGCGAGGAGCACACTTATGTGTTGCACTTGCATTACATAATAATTTTCAGTAATTTTTTTTACATTGTCATCCTTGGTTGTATTTAAGAAAATTCCTAAAAATATGTTTTGAATCTGCTGCTATGGATCATAGCATAATAATCAAATTGTAAATGTTGTGGATTTACTCTCCAACACCCCGGTGGGCTGAAGCAGTAACTAATTGCCATTTGTTTACGTGACAAATCCCTTACTAATTGGCTGTGTCGGGTGGTGGAGGGTTACGACACATTTATAATTACGCGATCTAACCTTAAAACCTTTATTGTGAATAATATTGGTCGCGAAAGCCTCCATGTTAAACTGATCATAGTAGCAGTTGTAAAGCCTTTGTCAGTCTGCTATGCAGCACTGTACAGTGCAAATGTGTTTTAATTGCTCTGGGATGTAACTACCTGTTTAATAGTATCATATTGCATAAGGGCACAAAGATTGGTGATCACTGGGTTGGCGTGCGCATTTTGCGTCACCCCGACCTGTCACTGAGTCAAAGCATGTGTGAAAGAGTCCATGCATGTCCTTCCATCAGGACGATGAGAAGAGGACGCCGCTGCATGCGGCCGCCTATCTAGGGGAAGCGGAGATCATCGAGCTGCTTGTGCTGTCAGGTAAGTGCTGCTTGGCGCGTGCGCTGATGACAGCATTCTCCTTGCTCCGTCGTGCCGCACCACCCCCATGCACCACCCGGCCTCGTTTGTTTTCCTGGCGCCCACTGCTCTGCCAACAAACTGACCAAACTGAGAGCTGTGAAGTAAATGAACAATGCGTTTCTTTTTAGTCTACATTGAGTTTGTTTTGTGGCTTAGGTTGCATTGAGTTTTATGTTATGGTAGTGGTCATGCCTAATGAAGGTGGTTTAGATTATTTCCAATTGGCACAGTAGGGGACACAGGTGGTGCATCTGCCAGTCATTTCGGTCAATCAACCCATGGCACCTGGGTCTGTCCCGTGACCTGCCAGTGAGCCTTCAATACTTCACATGGCTTTAAAGTTCACATACCTTGGCACAAGTGCCGTGGTGACGTCACCGCCATTTAGTGGTGAATGGCAGTGGTTGAGTCTTTGCAGGATGGTAATGGTGATGGTATATCATACATCTGAAGGTAGTTTAGTTTGGCTGCTGGGTGGTCATGGTTGTGGTGCATGTGTAGAGGTATTACAGGAGGGCGAACAAACACACCAGGGGTGGTTTTGCCCGCACGCGGAAGGGTGCTTACATCCACGTCCGCATCGGTTATCCCTGGGGGGCTGAAACGGCGCTGTGATCCCCCACGGCCCCATCCCTCGAGGGGGCAGTTGCTATATAAGGCGGTGAGCCGGTGGGCTCGGGTTCAGTGTTTTAGCTTAACCCAGTGAAGAAAGAAGACTGGCTAGATAGGCCCTGGGACTTCCGCTGGATCGCTGTCCTTCTAAGGACCGACCTGGGCAAGCCAGTGGCGTGGCCCCGAGAGCCCAGAGCCGATGCTCTTGTAAGAGCCGGTCTGGTGACTAAGGGTGCCGTGATCCTAGCTTGGCCAGAGCTGGATCAGCTAGCCTCCCCTAGCTCTCGAGTGGAGGACCTGGGAGTAGGCTAGCCGGGATAGAGATAGTGGGATCTCCCTGTTAGACGGGTGAAGGGGCCGCTACCCCTTTGAGTGTTGTATACTTTGGCCTGTATTGAGTGAAACGTTTAATAAATAAGTGTGCCTCCGACTACGTCGTCCACGTCTCATTGAACCTACTACACATGTATGGGAAGGTGATGAGGTTGCTTGTAAGATTGTGCTGGTTAGTGGTGGTGGTGCTTTTTACAATGGTTTTTGCAAGAATGTGAAGGTGATTAAGCTTCGTTGTTGCATTCACAGGAGCTCGAGTCAACTCGAAGGATAATAAATGGCTGACACCGCTGCACCGTGCGTGTGCTTCTCGCAGTGAGGTAACAGGAGAGCTGTATCTTGCTGAATCGAGGGTTTCCTTTTGTGTAATGTGTCATTTAAATAATTTAACACAGCCTTTTTTCAAGAAAAGTCTCCGCTTGCAGAATTGGTTGGCTTCACACATTGGTGGAAATACTTTGAAGGCTATGTAACTGGCATTGGAGGAACAAGGCTTGCTATTCATGCAAAAGAAATACCTTGATGGGCGATTTATTTATTTGTTGCAATGTGTGTTTTGTGATGCATGCAGTTATATTTGTGTTTAAAATATACGCACGAGACCAATTTGAGCGTAAAACATGTTTTGTTTGTTCTGAGGATATCCCCAGGATGCCCATGTCCAACTGCATTTAAATTCTACATGAATCCAAATTGCTAATTAATCGCACACAACTTGTGGAAATAACTACACAGTGGAAGACATGCATCATTTAGATGCTACAGAGCCGATAGATAATAAATCACTGCAGTATGGCATTTGCATTGTCCAAGCTACCCCCGGCGGTCCGGACACAATGTGCGCTCATCCGCACGCTCGCTTTCCGCAGGCCGCAGTGCAGACTTTGCTGAAACACTCCGCGGATGTGAATGCCCGGGACAAGAACTGGCAGACTCCATTGCACGTGGCCGCCGCCAACCGGGCTGTCAAGTGCGCCGAGGCGATCATCCCCATGCTGAGCAGCTCCAACGTATCGGACCGTGCTGGGCGCACTGCTCTGCACCACGCTGCCTTCAATGGCCATTCCGAGGTGCGATCATGCTCGGCTCCCACCGACCTGGTTGCACGTTGCCTTTGTGTCTTCAGAACATTATAAGATTGCACTTATTACGCACAAAGTGTTTGCTACAAATGAACCACAATACCTTGCTGATCCCATCAAGGAGCATAAACCATCACGCGAACTCCAGTCGTCCTCACAGCAGCGGCTTTTGGCAAACCACTGAATAAAGGCGGTCACTGCATCGCGCGCTTTCTTCTGCGCTTCCGTGGCCGTCTGGAACACTCTTCCTTCCACTATTAGGAATCCACTGGAACTAAGCACTTTTAAATGTAGATTGAAAAATAATTTCTTTAGAACTGCTTTTTGTGTAGAGTTTCTTGTCCTTCCCTCGCACTTCCGTTTAGCACGGTTGGCTATGTATGGGCTGTAATTGGAGATGAGCAATAACCCATGTGCCCTTGAGCACATTCACGTAACTTTATTGACATTGAAGATATTTGCATATAGTGATGTGTGTGAATAGTTTATTCGAGTTATTGAAATTGTATTGAAATTATATTTTTATTTTGAGGCAAATGTATAAAAAAGTGCAAAAAGGACAGGAAATAATACTACATGTAAAACACTAGGAATATTGAGATTTAATAAAATTGCTGGATGGTGTGGGGGTGAATCATAATATGCATAAAAAAATATGCACACATGTTTAGTGTAGACATACAATCAGAGTACTGTAACTGTACATTTTATAGTTTAACAACCTCCATTTTAACGCCTGTAATTCACATTAGCAGATGTGCATTGACTACTTCGTGCAAGATTGAACATGTATACTTTTGCACATGTGTAGTTGCTTTGTTTTTCAGGCCACCTGACTGTTTGTTTGTGATAGTGCTTGAGTTGGGCGTAAATAATTTATCGCGTGAATCAATATCATTGCCTGTGAAATATTTGTCAGCCAAAGCATTATCTTGTACAACATGAGGAATTTCACGTGTTATTGTAAGCGATATATTTTTAAACATATATTTAAGCTTTGTTGAATAGTTTTTTTAGATTTATATAATTGTGTAGCAACACTGACACACTATACACTCACTGCTGCGGCACAGAAAGATACAGTTTCAAATTCCTTCCAGATGGTGAACTTTCTGGTGGCGAAAGGAGCAAACATCAATGCCTTTGACAAGAAGGACCGCCGTGCCATCCACTGGGCAGCCTACATGGGTGAGGTCCCCACTTCAACTCCTACGCAAACATGCCTCGTAGATCTTCTGTGAAGTGGATCCATTCTTCTCTGCTAATGTGGCAGCGTTTCAAAATACAGCCGCTGCATGGTATGTGCTTGAAGGGTTATTCGCACACATCTTTACAAAAAAAACCCAATCGTGGATTTTTTAAATTCACGTCATATTTTTGGCAAAATATTGCGCAACGATGAGATTTTGTGAAACAACTCCCCTGACCAACATGGTGTGGTGGAGTCCTTCATCTAGCAGTGGATTGACAAAGGGTTAACATTTTATTTATTGCACATTGGTGTATTGGTGTATGCAGTGATGTGGCTACGCGTGCATTTTGTAGATGCTGATGTGATGTCACCGTGGCACCACAATGAATGGCTGCTGTCCATGCACGCGGGCGCCCATTTGTTTTTCTGCACGTGCATTTGTGCGCTTCAGGCCACATAGAGGTGGTGAAGGTGCTGGTGGCGCACGGTGCGGAGGTGCGCTGCAAGGACAAGAAGGGCTACTCACCGCTGCACGCCGCCTCCTCGAGCGGACAGATTGGTGTCGTGAAGCTGCTGCTGGACCTGGGCGTGGATGTGAGCAGAAGCCCCATCACCTCCCTGGGATCCTTCCCCTGTCACACCCTGCCCCCACCCGACCTTTTTAATGTTGAAGTTAAAACTAAAAAATATTTGTATTTTACCAGGTAAGGCCCACTGAGCTCGCTAGCTCTTTCTTTCTGAAGTGACTTTACTACGAATGAGAGCTGAATGAAGTGATTTATCATGTAGAAATTTATATCAGCCAAAATACTCTCAACAAATGTTTCTAAATGTGGAGGGAAAAACCGAAGGACCCGGAGAAAAGTCCACGCAACCACGGGGAGAACATGCAAAATATACAGCCATCAGGCTCGGGATTAAACCCACGACCTCCTGGATACCAGGCGAGGTAGTTAACATCTCGTGGCCATTGATGTGAGCAGCATGTCTAATGACGGCCACTGCTTATGTTTAGTGATGGCTTGAAAAATAATTAGTTTTTTTAAACCAATTAAAACATGTAAAATATTAAATTTAAGTGATGAACGATACATTATCACTGCCTTTAGCATCGTGGTCATATTGCAAATTCACAACGCATGACAGTGTGCAGTCTTCAAAACACATTAACAGTGTCCTATGTGTATTTAAAATCAGTTGATATTTCAGAAAACGTATTAAGTTTAGCACTAACACTTGAACACTAATAAAATAAACGAGTATATCACAATAACAGCATTTACATTTGGGTTGGAGACAAAATCAGAAATCGTTACAATATTAAGCAAGTGTCATAAACATTCGTAATTTTGCATGTTTTGAGCTCCCTCATTGACAACTCACTTATGACCAAATTATCCGGAATGTGCCTGAGCTTAACACATCTCGGAAGTTCTTCTGGGTAGACCTTGAATGGGTGAGAACCCCCACGGAAATTGGTTATTATTGTCTTGAGGTTATGGAGCAGAGGGAAGTGCAGCCATGTCCATTGTTGCACTGTACCTCTATGCTCCCACAGCTATGCTCTATGCCTTCACCAATCCACACCGACCAGTATGCGGAAGTATGGTCTACTCACCCACATGACCCACATGGCGTGGTGAGGCCCACGTCCGGCAGTTGATTGACAAACGGGCTATCCTAATCCTCACATGTTCACATTTGCACCTCGCACTCTCTCCTAACCCACCGCCTCTTTTTTACCCCCAGATTGACGATCCAAACTCGTTTGGGAACACGGCGCTGCACGTGGCATGCTACAATGGGCAGGATGTGGTGGTCAACGAGCTCATCGACTGTGGCGCCAACGTGAACCAGGCCAACGAGCGAGGCTTCACTCCCCTCCATTTCGCCGCTGCCTCCACGCATGGCGCGCTGTGCCTCGAGCTGCTTGTGAACAACGGCGCTGACGTGAACGTGCAGGTAATGGGCATGCGCCCGCCCTCCCCGCGGGGTCGCATCTCTACACCCGACGGGTGCCACCCCTGCCTTTTTGTCTTGTTGGCGTGCAGTGCCCGCATCCTTCGCTCTTCATGAGTGCCATGAACAGGATCATTTGTTTCTTCCGAATGAAATCTTCAAGGTGTTTGTGCATTTTGTGTCTGCGTAATCACTTGGCTGCTGCATGTGGATCAAAAGGATCGCTTTGGATCCTTTTGAATCTTCCCCTCTCGTGCATTGTATGTATGTACAGTATTTCTTCCTTATTCGTGAGGGATACGTTCCAGAGATGCTTATGAATAGGAAATTTCGCGGATAATGATATTGGCCTACGAAAACCTGTTTTTCTCATGAATTACCTTAAATACATAAATAAGCTATTGAATACATGAAAATGATCATAACACAAAAAATTGTGATAATAAACAAAGTAAATTAATATAAAAGTTTTGAATAATAGTTTATAAATGCAGTCATTTTGAGTTCAGATGTGATTCGCGGATAGCCAAAATTGCAGATGCAAGTTTGCGAATAAGGAGAGAATACTTTATGTATGTTTAACTTATTTTGCACTGTACAGAGCCAACAATGCTAATCGGAGTTGTTGCCTCTTGACTGCCATTCATTGCGTGAGCTCTAATTGTAGTTGACCTCAAGAGCATGTCTCGCCTGTCTGCTTGTTCTGTGCAATGTTCTTGTGGATATGTGCTGACCGCATGATTTATTGCGTAATGGTTGTATGTCGCACAAAAACACCCGCGCTAAGGAGAGCATCTCTTCACTGCATGCTCTGTGTGGGTCATTGGATCATTAATGCAATTTAGCAGAAGTGACACTGCTGAAATTTTATTTTCATTTTGTTGCTGCATCAGACAATGTCCTGACTACATAATCTCATCATCAGCAACATCTTGTTGTCACTTTTAACTTCATCCGATATAACTGCAGTATGTCCTTTCTGAAATGCAGAGCAAGGATGGAAAGAGTCCTCTACACATGACGGCAGTGCACGGCAGGTTTACAAGATCACAGACACTAATTCAGAACGGTGTGTGGTGTTTGCATTTTATTTATTTAATATCTACTCAAAGTTTAAGCACATATTCTTGCATACAAAACAGTTTTTTGTAAATGGATCTGTATTGAAAGGTGGCCTTATTACTTTGGTGTTCCTCGTAACATTTGTTCACTATCACCTGGTCACAAAGCGATTTGTGGTTACCCCAAAGTTACAGTTAGCTGGGTGGTTTTGCAATCTTGTCTCGCTGGGCCGCAGTCGGCGATGCCCATGTGTTAATGTTTAAACACCCGAGCCCTTCCTGACTTGTGCAAGAGATGTTACTAAACCCATCCAACACTTCATGTGAAAGGGCGTGTCTGATAGAAACAACTGGGACAAACACTGTAATTGTGCCCAGGGCATGCAGTTGGTGAAAACAAGCAGGGTCGTTTCCATTCATTAGTGGCATAAGATGATCTCATTGGACCAGTTGCCTAGGAAACCCCTATTAGCAGATTACCGCTGCAGATAGCAAAATGTACACCGTGATGTGTATCTGCACGACATTTACAGGATGTGCATGTGTTTATGGGAACATTGCAGCCAGTGATATAGTATATTTATCCAGACAATGAAAGTTTGCGTATAAAAGAACCTTCAAAATGTAAGCATAAAGCATCTAAAACACCAAACTGTTACAAAGTAATGTTTGGTATATATTCGCACGGTTAATACTTCGTTCAGGAATCAATCGTCAGGATGTTACAATTAAACTAGCGGTGCCAATACAACTGTAGAAGCAGTACAAAAAGAATAAATTGTAAAGTTGGAACCCAAATTGTGTTGATTCATTAAATAGCCCGCGGGTTGCATTGTAATATATGCAACTATAATTGACTTCATGTTGAGCAATGGTGAGAGATAGTGTGTCGGCCCATCTACGTGTCTACACATACGGGTGCCTGCTTGGTGTTTAGGTGGAGAGATTGACTGCGAGGACAGGGATGGTAACACCCCGCTGCACATTGCCGCTAGATACGGACACGAACTGCTCATTAACACCCTCATCACCAACGGAGCCGACACTGCCAAGTGAGTCCTCAGGTTTCCTTCGTGTGCTGAATTTACTTTATATAGAGAAATGGTGAAAGACAGTTTTGTCCCACTTCTATATGTGGCTGCACATAGAAGTGGGACACTTTGCCAAGCAGAACATGCTAAGAACATGGCCCTCGGCTAGCTGGTTTTATTTTACGTGGAATTTTTCTTGTAACACTGGTGGTAGGCGTGAAGATAATTGTCACTTGCATTGTAAGTGCACCATGACATTTCTGAGTGTGTATGTTGAACTTCTTTCTTACCGTACGTAGCCAACCGTGCTAATCGGGTCTTGATGCCATACATTGGAACTGTTCTATACTGAAGGCACCAACTCATCATCACACTGTCAACATTATACATCTTAAACATCACGGGATGGTCGAACGCAATTTGCCACTGAGGCGTTTAGCAAAGTCCACATTAGATTTTTCTCCAGGCATGCGAGCTTCCTGCCATATGCTAAAATTTGTTTTTAACGATAAATTAATCCACTCCTGGATAAGATCATTGAGATTAAGGCAAGTTTTCTGCGTAATCAAATAATGTTATTAAAATGTTAAGATTTTGAGATTTATTTGAGATTTTCTTGAGTTTCCCTCGTGACATACCTAGTGCCTCTTAAACCCTGACCTTTTGTCAAACACGACAACTTGATTAATTGACGTGACGTTTTAACTCGCCTGCCTATTTCCTTCCAGGCGTGGCATTCATGGCATGTTCCCCTTACACCTCGCTGCCCTAAGCGGATTCTCCGATTGCTGCCGAAAATTGCTGTCTGCAGGTACGCTGTCCCACTCAGTCACAGCCTCGGCGGCAACAGTGCCTCACCACTGCTGACTGTAGATTTCTTATATGTGAGTGCTATCAAAAACTTGTACAACTGTGAGTTCTAGGTGGCGTGTGCACCCACTATTTTAAAATTAACCTGTCTCATTAAATTGGCTGCATGTATGTCTTATAGCTGTTGTAACACTCGAACGTCTTTGAATGAAACCCAGTGTTTTATTCACTCTCGTCTTACGTGTGTACCACTTGTGGTAGACACGTGTCTTGATCCTTGCCGAGTTTTTAACCACTCTTGCCTGAACAGTTTTTTATCCCTCTCTCCCCATAGTGTGGATGCGATGCATTTATGTCCATGCGATATGGTATGACGCCTCTGTCCTTGTGAGATCTTAACACCAGTTCTCTCTTTTTGGAATGTTTTCGGTTCACCTAGGACAAAAGTACAGCATCGTGTCCTCATTTAGTAACGAACACGTGCTATCTGCAGGCTTCGAGATAGACACTCCAGATGAGTTTGGGAGGACGTGCCTGCATGCGGCTGCTTCTGGAGGGTATGCAACTGAAATGTTTCTGTGTTACACCCCAACATTAGTGCATTTACAAGCGTTAAATTCACGTGAACTTCTGCACAAAAGAGCACAGCTGAACACAGTAATGTTAGACATTTCGGAACGCAGTCTGATTTGTGTCAAAATAAGAGTTTTTTCCCCACTAATACACGGCCAAGCGCTGAAAGTACTCCCCCCCCCCCCCCCCCCCCCAAGGTTTTTCTGTCCCCTCCCCTAGAAACCATTGACACGTTGGACTTGTGTGCTTACCACAATGAAAAACAATTCTGAAAATACATACCAAATGATGTGTAGGCTTTCATTCCGTTTGAATTAACATATATTATAAAGAGGGAACTACACTTTTCCTCTTGCTGCTAAAGTGGCGTCAGATTCGTGTCATGTTATACATTACATGAGATTACAAATAACATGTAGCGTGCACAGGCATTCACACTGATTGCAGCGTACCCATTTTTATCAAGGTTATGGTCAATACATGGGAGCAAAACCTATTTTTCTTCCAGTCATTTTCTTTCAAAAGCTCAATGACTACGGCCAATTATTTGAAGTGATATTTTCTAAGCGCAATTGAGCCTCAAACCGAAAATGCATGCTTTTATTTTTAAGCGTTGGGGTTCATTTCATTTAAATGTATTGGCCTTAAAGCACACGGGCGTGACAGTAAGCCATGTGAATTGCGCTGTACGCCTCGTGTTAGCTGCCGTGTGGTGAGACTGAACTTTTTATTTTGACAGAAATGTTGAGTGCTTAAACCTGCTCCTCTCTACTGGAGCCGACATGAACAAGAAAGATCGCTTTGAGAGGTGAGTGATTGCTCAACGTCAAATTAAGTCGAGTTAGCGTTTCGCCACTTTGCATGCAAATGTGTCCCGGTGGATTATACATAGGCAAGCACACACACTTCTCATACGTTTTAAATGATTAACCACACTTTTCGGAGTGGCACCACCCGTCTCAAGCATCTTATCGTAAAATAAACTTCACCTTAGGGTTAGCTATGTCACCATGTAGTTTTAACTGTGGAATCCCATTTGAAAGGATTCGTTTTCACTGCCCTTTCAGTGCTTCCTGAAAGAAATAGTACAGTGTGATGTGGCTAGTCAGATGTGGCTTTTGTGTATTTATACAGTTACGTTAGACATGAATCATATTTTCATAAAACGGTGGTTTCTTTTCCTGGTATCGTTTTCACCTCTGTATACCTAAGTGTGTTTCTCCCATTACACTGCTGAAGAATACAAAAAAATAGTTTTGTTAAAATAATAAGTTTTAATGAAATGCTTTCATAGTAGTAGTGAAGAACATGTATCAGTCTTGTTAGTTACACGTGGAAGTATTCAAACACATGACTTTTCATATACTGTATAGAATTCTTTTTTCAGAAATCTTTAAAATAAACTTGCAATTCCTAATGCACACAACTCTGCTAACTCACGGGATATTTGCTTTCGCATCTGTGAATAAGTGCAGTGTAAAGCCAGTGTTTGTGAGAAAAGTCAGTGTTTTTGTGAGCTTGTGGGCAGTCGTGTGTTTGCAGCCGCTAGGGGTGCGTTCTTTCACGTGGGTGCACACTTGTTTTGGCATTCAGATGGTGTGCGTAAACATGTGCACGCCAGCCACGTTGTGATATTGCTTTATACATACGTGTGTGTGTGTTCACCTGAGCCAGGGTCTTGCATTTTTGTGTGCGTGGCCGCACACGTACACTTGTAGTTGCGTGCTTGTGATTTGAAATACAGCGAATTTGTAATGGGTTTTATTTTAAATAGCGCAGTCTAGTTGCTCCTCTTTTGTGACGTACATGATCACGATTTTAGAATAAGAAGTGTTTTAGAATACAATTCACTGCTCGATGAATGCCTAAGCATGTGAGTTTGACAATACTTCACCATGCTGGTCAATGCGGGTTGCTGAAGGGGGGGGGGTTGGAAATAACCTATTAGCTTGTTGCCTGCAATCGAACTCGCTTTGCTGGATTGATGGAGAAGTGTACTGACCACTGCAATATATATTCAATAACAATTGCATATACATATCACTCACCACATGCTTGTTCATACATGGTTTTAAGAGACTTTGTTAATTTAGTGTGATTTCCACTGTAAACAATGCCCAATTTTACACATTATTCCATGATATTGCTTTGGCAGTGGTGCACAAGTGCAAATAACAAAAAACAACTTGAAACGTTTATGAATAACAATGTAATCGTTGACGTTTCAAGCAGTGGCCTTTCTTCACGGTACATAAGAGGCCGGAGAAGTAGTGACACAACAACGTTAGCCAACTTTTTTTGTTTGCTTTTATTTTGGTGCCATTTATTAATTGCTTGTAAAAAAATGTATTTTGCTTGGTAGTAAGGTTTTCATTTGCTTTGATTGTGGTTGTATATGTGATTTGGTCTTTATATATAGCTAGCCTTTTGCCCGTCCAAGGACGGGTGTATTGCAGTAAATCTGAACCTTGCAAGCGAAAAGCAGACCGCGATGTGATATTCATTTCATTAATGCGTGTACAATTTGTTAGGGCGCGGTCACACAGACCTATTTAATTTTAAGGTTATAATGACGTCCTTTTTACTTTGATGTCTCATTCGCGTTACGGAGATCGTGACGTGAGGGTTCTGCCTTTGTAGCGAGGGTTGTAAGTTGACACCGAGGAAGGGTGAGGAGGCGCCTCAGCGCCCCATGTGGAGTGACGTCAGCCGCTAATTATTATGAATGGGGGGGGGGGGAATGCTTGGCATGCGTGACGCTATATAAAATTAAAGTATTATTATCTTGCGAGCAACAGCAGCTCTGATGTGCGCCACGCATTTGCTCATTGCAGGACAGCGCTGCACTATGCAGCGGCCAACTGCAATGTGCAGTGTGTGGTGACGCTGGTCGCGTCAGGCGCGCGTCTCAATGAGCAGGACGAACGCCGTTGCACACCGCTGCACTACGCTGCTGCGGCCGACGGTGACGGCAGGTGAGGACATGGCCCCAACGCGTGGTGGGGGGGGGGGGTTCAGTCACCATCCAGTCCATGCTTTTGCAACACATTCCCATCGTCGGCTCCCAGTTGTGCGACGGGTTTTGTCTCGTAGCGTTGGTTATACTTTCATAATGCAGGTTTTTTTGGGTTCGATCGCGTAAATATATAAATGTGTCGTTAAAACCCGCCACCACCCGACACAGCCAGCTTGTAAGGGTTGTCGCGTAAACAGAGCATGCCAATTCGTCACTAGTACAGCACACCGGTGTGTTGGAGAGCGAAAACCTACATGTTAAACTGGTTATACACTTTCGTTCGTTTGTGTATTGTGTGAATTGAGAAACCTGGTCAACATAGAAGTTGAAGGCTGTTTAACATGGAAGTTGAATTTTAAGGTTTTACAGCAGTAATATATATTTTAACTGAAAGTTTTTCAAAATGCTTGGCTTTTTCCGATGTTAGCATTCCTAAAGCTCAAATCTAGAAGGAAATGAGATCATGTCGTCAGTCTCAAAGAGCTAAATGCTCTTTAATGATTCGTCCAAATGTTACTTTTTCAATGGCCACCTGTTATCATTACATCGGAACCCACATGCACTCTTGTTATAATTTAAAATATAAACCAAATCTTCAATATTTACAGCCGTTAATGTGCAGGACATGTAATAATAAAATAAAATTATTTGTGAAAGTAAACATCACATTGGCAGCTGACACCCTGATTAATAATTACTGTTTACAGATATGTCTTTAGCATTAATAACGGAAGTGAATCGTGGACGGGTCTAATCGCTATGGAGCATTAAGGGTCGGTGGTGTTTTGCCAAGCGTTCACATTGGCTGTTGCCAAAGACAGGGAAAAGCAACACAAGCTGCTACTAAGGGCACCAGACAAAGAGAACAAGGTTGCCTTGTAAGTGGATACTTAGAGCACAATATCATTCTCAGTGTACAATACAATGTCAGTACAGTCCTATATAGCTATTATTACTTTGCTTGTTTACCCATGAAAACCTCACTGAGTGTTTTTTTTGCGGAAGGGAACGATGTTGCTACGTGTAATTCCAATTTAGTAATTATCTGGTAACTTTTCAGCTTTGGGATGTTTGGCCAATACCATTTGCATTGTATGTGTTTTTATAAAGTAAAATCTCTGCTTATTGTTCTGTTTTTTAACCAAGGCTCGCTACTTGGGCCAAATGTCTCCAACTGTGTGCGCTCACCACTGCAGATAAATGCTCGCACCACCATGTTATTCACTTCTGTTCTTAATTATCCAATTTTTATAGCCTACGACAAAATCACCTGGAATGCGCTCAATCTTGTAAGATCTTAGAAGCTTGGCAGGGATGAACTTGGATAGTGCTTGGATGGGTGAACACCATGCATCATCGGTGGCTGCATTATGTGCTACGTAGTTGTCAGCAGAGGGCAGTGCATAAATATGCATTGTACCTTTGTCTATGCCCTGTTACGTCTACGCTTCCCACCTTCACAAACCCACATTAAATTTCGATTTAAAGCTTTCGTGACTGCAGGGATTCATCTTCTTGGTTCTTTCGGTAAAGTCACGTAGAAGGAAAATAATAAAATTATAAAAATTAAACATAATGTGACTTTACCGAAAGAACCAAGAAGATGAAACCCACATTAACCAGTGTGGCGAAGAATGGGCAAATAACTCCCACGACCCGCACAGAATGAGAATGCCCTCATCCAGCAGTGGATTTGGAAAAGGATTATACATGTACACAGTACTTGCTCAGAAGCACAGATGTGAATGAATGGGAATAGGATGGTGGCATGAGACGCGGTAGCTGAACGAGCGGCTGTGCCTTTGTTCATTTGTACCAGGTGTCTGGAGCACCTTTTGAGAAAGGACGCCGACCCAGGAATCCAGGACAAGCAGGGTTATACGCCCGTCCACTACGCCGCTGCGTATGGCCACCGTGTGTGTCTCGAGTTGGTATGTCCCTCTGGCATGCCCACCGCTTTCCACGCTCCATTTAACACAAGTTAGGAGGTCACTGGGACCGAAACTATTGATGCTGTCCCGACATCTATCACACCAGTGCTTCCTCATTTTCTGTGATATCATAGCTGTTGCGAAGTCAACACCTGACCCCCAAAGTCTGGTGTTAGGTGTCTTAGGTAGGGGTCATTCTCATCTTAAAGACTGCTTGTTTTCGTCAGATGTTTTATTCATTTTAGGCAACGATTCCAGTGGTGGCAACTTATTTTCATTAAAAAAATCTTGGTGAAAATTAGCAATTGTTAAGATGTAATTTATGCACTTGGAGAGTATCCCAAGATCTAGCTTTTTACACTGGCTTCAGGGTGCTCTTCCAATGCATGTCAGTAACCTGTCCTCATGTGTCTTACACATTGTTGAGCTTCCAAGTTGTTTACCTCATTCTTCCAATATATTTGTAGCATTCTTTGCATGCACCAGTAGCTTCTTTGATGGTGTCGTTGTTTAACTCCACCTCTTTCAACACAGACATGTATTTTTACACAATCAAAAAAATTGTGAAAAAAGTCACCTAAATCACCCTAAAAAGATTTGATTTTCATTCAAATGAGAGCAATACATCTTTACATAAGTTACAATCATGCTTGCTCATCTCATTTGCATTGTCGAGCACATGTACGCATGTAAAGCATCTGACATTTTTGTGCTTCAGAGACATTCAAATGACATTGTTTGCGTGAGCGTTGTGCATATACACATTAGCACATAATGTTTTTCTAGGATCCATTCTATTCTGCAGGTTATAATTACCTTCTCACCTATATAAAACCATTTTCTGTGTTCTTTCTCTACCAGATTGCAAATGAAGCACCACTTTACGTTGTAAGTAACTCTGGCTATATTGCAGTCATACATCGTGCACTTGGGTAACAAAAGCACTTTTTACTGTCATTTAGTTTTTAATTATAGATGTACATTAGCTTCCATTTTCAATGGAAATGAATTGCATTTACAGTACATTTATTTAAATATTCAGCAGATGTTTTATGAGACCTGTAAACTACCGTGCCATGTCTGGCCCTTGGTCGTTCTCCTTCTGCACACCTTGAGCGTGACCGCATTCTTGAGAGGGGTGGACTAAGTGGCCATGTGGTTTGCCGTACAGCTGCTGGAGCAACCTGGAGCCTTCCAGAGCGATGGCAAAAGTGGACACCCCATCAGCCCCCTACACTTGGCCGTACGTGTGCCTGCACCCTCCTTTTGTTTGACGCGACCAATCCGCAACGTAGGGGGGCGGGGGGGGGGACATTTCCAGCAGTATTTTTTCAAATTAATTTAGTAGCATTGTTTAAATCATTTATTCAAATCAATAGTTTTTTAAGGCCATGCATATGGTAATGTAGTTAACTCTCGGTTATCCGCGGGTGAATTATCCAGTTCGCAGGTTAACTGTGTTTGTGAAAGAAAGAAAGAAAGGAAATAGAAAATAGGCGATTCCACGCTCATTCATTCCTTGTTACTCATGTGCTGGTTGTATATATCTGCTCTTAACCTGTGACTCGGTGACCAATTACTATAACATACAATAAAAGTAGATGACACAACATCTAGACCCCCATTGTATTTAGGTAAACAATGAATGCATTCTATAGCCTTATTTACATACTATCCATCTTTTTGTTGTATCTGAACCATCCGTTCCCCCATCACTATATAATAAAGAGTTATATGTAGTGAGGTTTTAAATGTAGCTTCATTATTCAAGTTGAACACAAGTGCCATTACCTTCCAATTTTTGTGTTACATCTTAATTTCACCTATTCACGTTTATTCTCCCTATCGCTGTTTTGTGCATTAGGCGTGCATCAAGACGCTTTTGTTTTGCGGCCTCACATTTCTGCTTGCACGCACCGACACTCGCGCTGCCTTTTCCCACAGGCGTATCATGGGCACCATGGTGCGCTAGAGGTGCTCATCCGCTCGCTGGTCGACCTGGATGTACGGGAAGGGAGCGGCTACACCCCGCTGGGCCTGGCCGCGCTACGAGGGCACACCGACTGCGTGCGCGTGCTCATTCAGCACGGGGCGTCCGTTCTGCTCAAGGAGGGACCCGATCGCCGGACCGCACTCCACTCTGCAGGTAGTCTTGGTGACCGGTGGGTAGATATATTTTGGTGGGGGCACAGAAGCCTCTGGGGGTGAGGGAAGGTGAGGGATAGGGGGCTGGGGAAGGAGGAGAAAAGAGAGAGAGGTGGGGGGGGGGGTAGCAGTTTATAATCTTGATAATGAGCAGGTAAGTATTGTCAGGGCTTTACTTTCATTTTTGACTCGTGGGGCACAGCCTCACTGGCTCCCTAATGAAGGGCTGGCATTGGTAGCGAGCACTGCCTCTGCATCGGCTGTTTTTACCTCTGAGATCAGGCCTGGAAGTGAGGACGAGGTGGTGCCCTTCTCCTTGCGGGGTCTTGTCCGTGAATTGCTTCTGCTGAAAAAGCCGCCTTGGGAGTGTTTTCAGCGTTTGCGGCATATCTTGTTTTTGCATGCAGCAACCAATGGACACGTGGAGTGCTTGCGCCTGCTGGTAGAGAACGCAGACTCCAACGAGGCGGTGGACGCGAGCGACGCCAGCGAGCAGTACGTACTGCTGCAAGGCACCTGCTTTTCATCCCGTGTGCTGCGATATGAAGTGGAGGTGTAGATGAATGCTGGGCTCATTGCTGTTCGTGTGGAATTGCTCTCGCTTTCACAGGACGCCTGTGATGCTGGCGGTCGGGAATGGCCACACTGACTGCGCCTCTCTTTTGTTGAGCAAAGGAGCCAGTATTAATGCCAAGGACAAGAAAGGGTGCACTGCACTACACAGAGCGGTGAGGAGCCGCCTGTTTTAGAAATAACAGACGATCATCACATCGTAACTTTTTCCTAGAAAGTTTCCATTGTTTAAATCGATGTTTCCTCCGTCAGTCTGTGTATTTCAGTCAGGTTCATTTATCCAACATGTCTTCTGAAACGCTTTGGCATTCAATAAAATAGTTTAATTTCGTTGCTTATTGAGAAGGGACGTAAAACTAGTGGACGGACCGCTAACGGACTCGCAGTCCAAGAGGTGATCACGGCAGCTTTACAACGATGGGTGGTCACTGATTCTTGCACCATGTGCGGCGGTGCCTTGTGCGTACAGGCGGCAACCGGCCACGAGGAGTGCGTGGATCTGCTGCTGCAGCGCGGCGTGGACTGTGTCCCTGTGCGAGCGGCGTGGCCGGGCCCCACTGCACATGGCTGCCGCCTGTGGTCACATGGGCATCCTGTCCGCCCTCGTGCAGGCCGCCATGGCAAGCGGCGCACCTATCCCACTCACCGACCGCAGCGGCTACACGCCGCTCCATTGGGCGTGTTACAATGGTGGGTTGTGCACGGATCGTGCGTGCGTGCGTGTGTGTGACCAGTTTCTGTCTGTGGATGACTCGTGGCAAGTACTGTCTAAATGTATACTGAGCCTCCTGTTCATTACTTCAGCCTTAAGCTATGTTTCACCCAATGTGGTGTGTAAAACGTCAGCACTGGGGAGATATAAGGCAGCCAGGCATGATGCTCGTCATTATCACCCCCTTAATTTTTTATGCTGACCTTTAGTAAGTGCTCACTAGTAGCACTTTCCCCATAAGTCTTTCTAGCCATGGGTAACGGTGGCATAATGGCTTCCACGATGGTGTACTCATTGTAACGTGGGTTCTTGCACATTTTCCAGAAGATGAAGGGTCTGATGTTTTTTAGAATTATATTTAACACTTTTTGCTCAACGTTATTCGTGGGTTGTTCTCCCAACTCGATGTGTTTTACCTACCTTGTTCTTTACTCCTTAACGGACGTTGAAACACGAAGCTTTTGAGTTTAAGATGGTTGTTTATGCATCTGGTGATGCATGCGTTGCGTGACTTCTGTGGAATGCTCAGGTCACGACGGCTGCGTCGAGCTGCTGCTGGAGCTGGACGTATTCCAGAAGCAGGAAGGGAATGCCTTCTCACCGCTGCACTGTGCTGTGTGAGTGTTGCGCTGTTTATCTGATCTGCATTCAGAACCGCTAAAACTGCACTCGTAAAAAAAAATATGTATGAATACATCGTGGGGGAAGGGGATATTTTTTAATCAGGTTATTTTTATATTTTGAATAAAGTACAGTACAATTTTTTCTCGAGAGCTGCGTGAATTAAGGGCATGTGGGGTCTATGCGCGATGTTCCTTAGAACTATATGGAATTGTGTTGACCGTAAGGGAAACGGAACAATAGTCATACCATAGGGAACCTATTGTGTGCTGGGTACGCCTTGGCCTTGCTATTTTAGATGGCTTTTTCATTATTCATTCTCCCATCTCTCCAAGGTGTTTTTCAATGGTAATGTACATCGTGTGTTGTCAAGAGTTTCAATTAAAACAAATGAGTTTTTTAAATATTATGATAACGGCATCATTGACAATTGTACGTAAATTAACAAGTGTTTTTGGAAGTTAGTGTGTGCCTCGCATGTCTATTATGCAGTGTTTAGCAATGAAGTATTGGATGCGTGAGGGGGCAGTGAGGTTGAAGTTTTCAATGGGGTAGCACGTGTAAAGAGATGCATTTTAAAAATCAGTATTGTCTTCTTCATTTCGTCGCAGGTTAAATGACAATGAAAGCTGTGCCGAAATGTTAATCGATACTTTTGGTGCCAAGATTATCAACTGCCCTGATGCCAAGGGAAGGTAGGTATTGATGGGACATCTGTTTTGGCTTAGCCATATAGGGTTTAAGTGTACGCAATATACGTACCCTTCCTATGCATCGCAATGTGATGCACACATCTGGAGTGGTTGGCATTGTGATCTTTTGCTCGACCATGGCTGTTGGCGCTTTGCATAATTGCAGCTGCATGTTTTGAATAGTTGGTCTGAAACAGGCTTTACAATCTATGGATATTTCACGCATGGGGAACTTAATTTAAACTGCTTTTTAATGTTAAATGGAGCAGGTAAGCTCTTCTGTGATGTACAATATCATCTTGTTTATCCTTGTTTAATGTGCGTCTTGTTCAGTGGCTTTATCACAGCGCATTTGACTCGCTTTGTGGGAAGTCCAACATTTTTATCATCTGAAAAAGAGTATGGCCCCCACCATTGGAGTATGGAAATTAAAATGCCGGTTCAACATATATGACTCACAAATTGGCAAAAGCCTCCAACTTGCAGACTAATACCCAATTGCAGGCCGGCGCTGCGTTCACCGTGTGCGGCACAAGGACAGCTGCCACCTGGGGAGTTGGGGGGGGGGGGATCATATTTGGCTCGCCTGCCACAGGGCATCTCGATATACTGCACGAGAGGTGTGGTACAAGTAAGACGTGTGAATGATGATTCAGACGTCGGGGGGAAATGAGTACCTCCCCGAATGTGCATTTAAGCAGGAAAGACACTTTGACTGATTTTATTATAGCACCTCATTTACATGGAGATGACTGGCCCGGGTGCCCGGGTGCGTTTGCTGAAAGTGTTGTTGCTGGTGTTGGCGGCATGGTGGCGCCCCGTGAGCAGGATGCCGCTGCACGCCGCTGCCTTCACGGACCACGTTGAGTGCCTCCAGCTACTGCTCAGCCACAACGCGCTTGTCAATGTCACCGACATGGCCGGGAAGAGCCCCCTGATGATGGCGTGCGAGAACGGGCAGGCCACCGCCGTCGGTCAGTTGTCCCCGGGCACAGGCGGACAAATTATGCACAGGGCAAATTTACAGTGCCCTGCTGGATGAAGACTACCTCCCCCATACCAGATTCGTAAATCAGAATCTCTAATTAAACTGGAGAAATCCAATGAGTTATGAAGCTCTTTTTCACAGTATGGGCAGATCAGCAAGTTACAAGAACAAACGATACAAAAAAACAATAGTGCAAAATATAGAAAATGGTAAGCAGGTCACTGAAAGTAAATAATAAAATATATATTACATAAGTTCGATTTATCAACATTGGGCAAGGCGGAAAAAATAACAACAGTCCCAGACCAAACCAAGATAACACAGTCTCTCAATAAAATGGTACATTCACATTGAACTATTGCCATGTCAGTACAGGTAATCCTCTACTTACGATGGAGATGTGTTACGACGACCCCATCGTAAGTCAAAAATATCGTAAGTCGAAGATGGCCTAGCCTACCCAGGAGTTCTAAAGAATGGAGCAATTTACAGTACCGTACTGTATAAACTATATACTGTATGTATTTATTAATTACAATACTGTATTGCACAGTAAAATGTAAAGTAAAAAACAAGGTAAATTCTTAGCCTACCTATATGAACTGCAATTTAATAGAAAGTTTTTTCAGGAAACAATGTTACCTGCTATAAATTTTTTTTAACATGCATTGAAACACAAAAAACACAGAAAAAATACACGCACTAACACCGAGACAACTTAACTCCGTTGACCGCTGGTGAGAGTGAGGCATCACCACGCAAGGTGGGAGATGTGTACATCCCGGCAGCGTCCCAACGTACAGTATCGTACCTCGTACGCTGCTGCGTTTGCCTGCTGCGCGAAATTTAAAATATTTTACAAGTTTGTCGTATCGCTATCGCCATCGTAAGATTGAAATATCGTAAGTCGGACCGTCGTAAGTCAGGGACTACCTGCATTTAGAGTTATGATCTTGCGGCTCTTCGCTATGCTGGTCAGTGCTCCTTGTTGAAGGGGAGAGACAGACAGGACAGCTTGCGGTATCACTCGCCACTGACGTTAGCCCTGCCCACGAATCAAGGTCGTCGTGTTCATCGAGCAATAAAACGGCATGTTTACGTTATGTACGCGGGGGCTCCAAATTTCGGCCAATTCTGGTGCTCGTAAGTCGGCTCGGCCTGCCCTCAGCCAATCGGCGACGCCCATTTATGAGCGGTTTCGACCTCGTCGGGCTTAATTTACATTACGTTTTCCGTTTATTTGGTGAAGAGTATTTTTCATGGAACGGATTACAAAACGTTAACCGAGGGACTACTACTATATTGAGTTTAGATAATAAAAACAAAATTGGGAGCAACGAATATTTGCTTACCGTTTACAGCACGTATGAACTTTGCTTTAAAAAATTGTCAATTCTCCACATTCATTTTAATATTGTAAGCTTATTTTTCATGCAATCTCTTCTTGACATATTCCTAAACCGTTACCGCTTGTGCCATGCTGCATCGACAGAGGTACTGGTGAACAGCACAAAAACCGATCTCAAGCTGCAGGACGCCAACCGGAACACAGCCCTTCACCTGGCCTGCAGCAGAGTGAGCTTGTGCACACATGCAGCCTCCACCACACTTTGTGTGTGACATGGGAAAGCCAGTTGGCACGGCACCTCCGGTTAGCACGGTTGGCTACGTACGTGCGAAAGAAGTTCAACATATATACATTTCCACTGTGGGATTAATGCTTGCACCAAATTGCTGCCATCATCATCAACATCATTAATCCACAGCTGGGTAAAGGCCTTGCATGTATACATGCTGATGTCATAGGTATGTTTCCATGGTGCACGTAAGTTGGTAAGTTTGAACATTTGTTATTGCGCACCATTATGAGTCCAGTCCATCACGAATGCGCACTGATCACACGTAGTAAACTATTTGAAATAACACTGTTTTAGGTCTTTTGTAAAACTCGCTTTGACTCAAGGATTAAATCTCCAACATCTACGAGTAACCAGTACCAGGTCTTCAAGCTGAGGACCCCAAAACTGCACTGTCCATATAGCACGAGGTTTGCGGGTTGGTAGAGTTACATCATCATGGGCTTCGGATCGAAGACTGCGTCATTTTAGGTCCATTGAGACGAGTACACACTGCCCAGCGAGATAGCATTGAGCGAATCAGTGCAGACTCTTGTAGATGAGTAGGCATGGTTTCGAAATTAATCTATGGTTTATAGGTAGCCAATGTTACTCGTCTCTTATCGAGATTCTGATCGGATCAAATTTCCACTTTTCGAACTATCTGGAAAGCCCGCAGCATTTAACACTGATGAAGATGCACAGCGCTGGCATGTCCTGCCTAAGCCTATTTATTCTTCTTAACAGTCAATCTCATGTCTCTAACGTTCATGTATCATATTGTCCTTTTGTTCTTCTGTCTCCTAGTGTCGATCCAAATGTGCACTTCCGTGCTTTTTGTGCGCTTTGCTGAATTTGTTCCATGTTCTTTATCAGTGTCCAGTTTTCTCATGCAGATTTCAGAGCAGGTAATGTGCACTGATTAAAATGTTCTTCTTTAGGAACATCAATATGTGCAAATTGCAGTGTTGGGTGTAACATTTCCATTGTAATTTGTTGTATTGCCCCAGTTCTCAGCAATAAGACGTTCCGTGTGCTGCAGACTGACGGGCGCTGTTGTTTGTGTTCACAGAGCCATGAGACGTGTGCCTTGCTGATCTTGGATAAGCTAGATGACCTCAACCTCATCAATGCTACAAATGCCGCTCTCCAGACGTACGTCTTGCTCATGCTTCCATTTGACCAACCATAAGACATTTATTTTTCCAAGTATTGATTTTTCGGGGAGGCTACCACGTTGTAATGGTTAGCACACTGGGCTTGTAAGCCAAAGGTTTCCGGTTGAGTTAGATCTCGCGGCGCAGTAATTGAAACAACTGGCATGCATTTTAATTCACCCCCCCCCCCACCTCTGTCCACCCACCAGAATAAACAGGTACACAACAGTCAATCTGCAGATAGTGTGGCTAGGTAAAGTGTGAGTACTTTCACCTCTGCAAAGAAATCTGTTCAGTGTAGAAGAGTAGGCCGAATATCCTCCAGAGCAGTGGTTTCCAAAGTTGTGGTCTGCAGGGCTGTGGGAAGTTGTCTACGTAACTTTCAGATGTCAAGATTTTTATTATAAAACACCATAACCGCATTGAACTTAATGTGAATCAACAAAAAGCAAGTTTATAATTTTTTACACATTTGAAGTTACGTTTTACAGTGCTTTTAATGTTATTAACATTTATTTTAAAAATATTGTTTTGGTACATGGTGGTCCGCAAAAATGTTTTCAGAGTTGATTGGGCCACAGGTTCGGAAAGGTGAGCAGGACCCATTGCTCGAAGAGCTCGCGAGAGCTCTCCCTCTCGTGGAGGCCCTTCGGTCAGCGGTGTAAAATTTGTCCACACTTAATTTTACTGTGCCTCTTGGATTACATGCAGACGTGTTGTGCTTTTTTGCCAGGATTCTTGCAAGCTGCTCTGTGAATTTCCTGCTTTGCCTCTACACAATTATATTTCTTTTGAGTTTTCTCGGTGCTCTTGACTGGGTTGTATGTAAGTTGTTCCTGTATTTGTGTGCGTATGTGCATTTAGTCCTTTGCACCTGGCAGCCAGAAGTGGCATGGCAACAGTCGTACAGGTGCTTCTTAACAAGGGTGCCAGCATCCTGGCCGTCGACCACAATGGTAGGGCTCTTCATATTGTCGCTTCCATTACTTTGCTGGAAATTTGCGCTTTAGTCTACAATCAGCACTGCAGCTGCCTACCCATTGTGTGAGATTTAGTTCAAGCTTGGAAAACATGTATAAAGTTTTGATTTGAAGCTTTCGTGACTGCAGGAATCCATACTCTTTGGTTCTTTCGGTAAGTCATGTAGGTATAAAATGAAAGAAAATAGATCACGACGTTTCGGGCGCAACACAAGCATCCGTCATCAGGTGGGAAAGCATGGTCTGCTGCTGATGCAGACTGAAATGGGTGTAGCCCAAGGGTCATAAAGAAGTGGCTGGGTTTAGTGATGTTAATGTGAGAAATTAGCGTGTAACTGGGTACGGAAGTGGCTATGATAATGCGAGAGATTAGCATGATGTTAATGTGAGGAATTAGCATGTAACTGGGCACGGACGTGGCTATGTTAATGTGAGAGATTAGCATGAAATAACAGCTGACATAGGCAGGTAGGATGGGAACATCACAGTCAGTTAAGACTTTACCTGGTTAATAACGTCCTTCCAATGATTGCTCAGATTGTACCCATCATCTCGATTGAAGTTGTGTCTGTGTTTATATATCTGGATGGCTTCATGAACAAATCTCTGAAGGTAGCCAGTAGGTTTGCAGAGTACCTCCGTCTTGGAAAAATCAAGTTCGTGTGAGCCCACAGCGTTAAAACAATGATCAGCAACGGCAGAGGTATTGGTCCTACGGTGTTTTAGATCTGCCTTGTGTCACAAACGCGGTCCGAGATATGTCGTTTCGTTTCCCCAATGTAACTGCTTCCACAACCACAACTCAATTTGTAGACACCAGGGTACTGCATGGCAGGAATCACATCCTTTACAGGTGGGATTAGATCACGGATTATCATATTATCATAGCTACTTCTGTGCCCAGTTACATGCTAATTTCTCACTTTAACATCATGCTAATCTCTCACATTAACAGAGAGCCACTTCCATACCCAGTTACATGCTAATTTCTCACATTAACATCACTCGACCCAGCCACTCCTTTATAACCCTGGGGCTACACTCATTTCAAACATTTTTAAACAGTCTGCATCAGCAGCAGACCATGCTTTCCCACCTGATGACGGATGCTTGTGTTGCGCCCGAAACGTCGTAATCTATTTAATTTTATACCTTCGTGATTTTACCGAAATAACCAAAGAGTATGTATTAAGTTGTTTTCAAGAGCACCCCCACTGAGTGTATAGTGTACGTTTTATACGTGTTTTTGCAGAATATGTTTTCCAATAATTTCAGTTGTGTGCACCTCTGCCTTGTTTTATTTTCTGCATTGGATTATGTAATGCAGGATTTATGTACGAATAAGTGACTTTGGGAAGCGTATTTCACCACAAGACAATGACGGTCGTGTTGTTATTTCTCACATGCAGGCTACACACCGGCACTCTCTTGTGCCCCAAACAAGAGTGTGGCCGAGTGCCTGTCCCTCATCCTGGGCGCCATGCTGCCACTCTCCCCCGATGCCGTTTCCTCCGCCTCATCCCCGCACTCCTCCCCGGTCCTGGCGAAGGCCGTGCCTCCAGGCGGTGTAAGAGGAATCGACCGTGGGCCCGGAGTGCGACTGCCACACACTCGTCTCGTGGGCTCCGGTCCCAACGGCGAAGTTCTGCAGCCGTCACTGTGCAGCACCGTGGCGGCCACCTGCGTCGTGGAGAATGGCGTGGCAGGCGGGTCGTCCGGCCATGTGGGCAACAGCCACTCGGACGACCATATTGGGGACTCCGATTCTGAGACATACTGACCTGCACAACCCTGCCTTAGACCCGAGCTGAGTTTTTAATCCGTCAAGAGATTTGTCCGTCAGGCTACACCTGATGGACCAAACACTTGCCCCACCCTTCCTATCCCGAAATTCCCTTGCCTTATTTCCAAACATGACCCCAAATGCCCACCACCCCCACCCCACCATACCCCCATCTTTACACATTTCCAATCTCTCCCCAGCACATCCCCACCACCCTAAAACCTCGTGATAGTCGAACGTACGTTTGGCTATGCCAAATCTGCGTTAACCATCCTCAAAATTAAATTGGCTTAATGCGAATTGGCTCGAAGCCTTGAAAACCAATATGAGACTGCGTTGAAGCCGCTAAGTGAACCTGAATCCTTAATAACATTTGCACTGTCTTTGACAACAGTTTTTTTTACTTACCCACCTGATAATTAGATGTAAAGAGTATTTTTCCCAAAGATAGCCAGAAATGGTTAGGTAAAGTCATGGTATTTTATAAATAGTAGGCAGCTTCTGCGTCATGTAAAGTAATGTCTAAAACAAGGTTGCAATACTCAATTGTAAATGGCACTTCAGGATGGCAATATTTAAAAGCTTTTTGTCTATAAATCTACGGAACTTTAACGTAAAAGAAATTAAACACTAGAATTGGTTAGGAATATTGCTAATGTGATCCATTGTACTGTGCATTTTAAGAGGTGCACAAGCAGACAGGTGTGCATTGCTAATGCCGAGACGTGACGAACGCAAACGAGACGAACGTAAATGTGACTTGACACAGCTCCTAGGAATTTCACACTTTCCACCTCAAGCTCTGCTGCAGTATGGAGGCATATCTGCACCATAGTGGCTAGTGATGCCACTAGTGAATGTATAATCCAAGCCAACACATAATTCAAGCACTTAACAATTGCGTATGTGTTTGCTACTATGGAGAACTCAGTACAGCCTGAGCAGTCTTAGAACAAATACAATATACTGTAAAATGTGTAGTCTGTGTAATTTGTATTCCATAGCAGAGGGCTGCGGACATACGCTTGTGTTAATGTTTAGCTTGCTTTATTTTGGTGGAAGTGGCAGTTCAGCACAAATCCTTAAACCTAATCGATTTGCACTCGAGCATCTTTATACAATAAGCCTTTAACAAGGGACTGAATCCTCACCTGAGCCATTAAGAAAGAGAGAGAAAAAGTGCCCTGCCAGGCTCAGTCATGTAATAACAGCTTGTAAACTTTTGTCCCAGGGTGGTGCCATTTTTGACACTGGTAGTGAGCGTGGGCCGGTGTGCGGAGTTTTCTGGCATGTTCCTTACTCTGCATGAAGCACGCACACACGTGGTCCCTGCAGCTCCACAGTCGACAGTTGAGTGTCAGGGCTTCCCGGCAATATGGACCCGTTGGATCATTCCATACCTCGCAGACAGCACTTCGTTCAGTACGCACGTCCATATGCACCCACACACGCACGAGGCATACAGGTTTCCCCATGTGCGCGCACACAACACACAGGACGAGGCACAGATGTGTGTCTGCCCACATACACGTGCACAAATGCACACAGCAGCGAGGAAGAAGACAAGCACGTTGCAGATTTTAATCAATGTAGTGTTTATTGATTTTGCTCGATTTGCTGCAGATGGAAAATGTTAATGAAGTATGTGCTACAGTATTATGGTATGCTTAGAAACTGGGTGTAGAGTGTTATACTGTGTTTCAAGTTACAAAGTTATGTTGATACATTGCAATTTCTGTAATTTAAAGGTCAATTAATAACTAAACCGTTATCCACATGATATATTGGTAACATCACTTGACAACACCACGACAAATGCACTCTTCTGTTCCACTGTGGGTCCTGAGCTGTGGCTGTATGTATATTTGTTGCTTTGAAAACAGGTAACTGGATTTTATTTTGTTCTTTCCAAAGAATATTTCTCATAGACTGTTGGCATGTTATAAAAAAATGTAGCAATAAGTTCTCGAGGGTTTATGGAAACACATGGGCGTTTTCAGTGCATGATATACCTTCCGTGGTGGTGTTCACAATATGGGCCACTTAAGACTAGCAAATTAAATGTTGATACTGCACTAAAATTTTGCAGCTGCTATACTGAAACAGGCTGCTGTAAGGCTTTTATGAAGTATATAGCAAAAAGGGTATCCTGTGTACTGTATAGATTATATGAGTCGTTATAGGCAAGCGTGTGTGTGTGTTTATGGTTTATTTTGTAATGTGCGTGTTTATCAATGCAGCCCAACGGTGTCCGGCACATTTTGGGTTATATGGGATTTCTTCATAACCTCACGTTTATTATTAATATAGAATGTCTGCACAACGTTCACTCGATTCAGCTGGCATCGGTGCATTTGTTACATAGCAACGCTAGTGATGTCATCATGCACGCGTGCAAATGGTGTTGCTCCTTGTACACTTCCTTACAAACCCACATGCTCCCAATGTGCCGGTTTCGCCAGTATTTAGAGGGTGGCACAGAACAGTCCAGTTCCATCTCGACGAACTATATCGAGAACCCTACTAAGTGCAGTAGATATATAAAACATTGACTGAAAACACTGTTTTGCATAACTCCATAGGCCACAGTTTTACCTTGTGCATCCGCCTTAATATGCATCATTGTATAAAATATAAAATTTAATAATGGTAATAATATTAGCCGTAGAAAAGGGGTGAAATTTCATGGTGGTTGATAATTTTCAGAAAGCATTTTATTTTTACGTTTAGGTACGATATAGCAAGGCAGGTCTGTGTTGTCATTGTGGCGTAACTGTTTTAGAAATACAAATGCTTTAATGTTTGATTTAAAGAAGTGGCTTCCAATCTTTTAGAGTGCATTTTACCAAATACAATTGTAACCACTTTGTTACAGTAGGGTTTCTGAATAGATGTTTTATTGTAATTTTATTAATTGGATGTTCACATATAGGAAAAGGCAATTGAATGTTATGACTTGCAGTAACTGGACTGAGTAAAACTGCCTTCATCTGTATTTTGCACATCAGCAGATTCCTCAAATAAAAATGTGGCTCAGACCTGTGTTTGCCATGTTTATTATTAGAGGCCGTGAAGTCCATTTCTAACCACTCATCAGCATGACCATAGCCTGATTTTCCCAATACCTGTCTGCCATTTAGCTGTTCCTATACAGAGCACATGTTAATTGCTTAGTGATTTCCTCTAGGCCAGGGGTCGGCAACCTACGGCTCCGGAGCCGCATGCGGCTCTTTACGGGCTGCTTCTTGACGATGAGTACGTATGTATTTCAAGAGCCGCAATGCATCTGAGTACGTATGTACTCAGATGCATTGCGGCTCTTGAAATACTGAATTTTGTACCGAATTGGAAAGAAATGGCTCTTCTTGTTATTTTGGTTGCCGACCCCTGCTCTAGGCGTTTGTATGGTTTGTAAGTAGTGGAACGGTTAAAGGATATATAAGATCAATGTATATTACATTTACTAATAGCAGTATTTGCACTTCTGAGGTCAACCCAGCGTGGTTCGAAAAACCAGAGTTAGTTTTAAAAAATGGCCCAGTTGATATTGAAATGGGACGCTATCATTGAGTGCCTTTTTGGAGTCCATGCAAAACCATGGCTTTTAATGGACATTCAAAAGTCAGAACCAAATGTGGACTGGAAACAATTGGTCATTGTTTACATCGCTGGACCGTTGGTTAATCATAACTCAGAGGACAGTTACTGCCTTTACAGCAGAGTTCCTCGCCCGTGACTCGTTGAAGGTTCAGTGACCATATTTACACGTGTTAGAATCTGTCCCTCGTATCCCTGCACCTTCTCTGGCTTCCAAGCAAAGGTAAGTTAAGACTCGAGAAATGTGCGTGTCGTTTTTTAGTGATACATTTTAATAATGTAATAACCACAAAGTAATGATATTTTTTGAAATGTTTATTGAGGGCAGGTTTTTAGTACAGTACAGATTGAAATGAACAATATTTTTGGTATTAAAGCGTAGAATTTAAACGTTACATTACTGCCCCATATACACGTCTTCCCACCAATCCCAGCTTCGTGTATATCTATGCCCCACAACTCCCACCAGTATCCCGCGCACACACGCGGTTGCTTCAACGTGCTTGTGCGTGCAGTACAATGCACCTGAATATACGGTCCTTGACAGTGGCCAGTGATATCTTAACTTTTTTTTCAATAAAAAAAACTAACATGACCGATTGTAGTGGCAGAAGAAAAAATCACGAACACTGTCTTATTATATAACTGCAATAATCGGCCCTTTATGAATGTACTGCTGGATGACGATCATTTATTCTCCGCTAGTTATTGCATTACCGGTTTAGATGTTACTCGCTACTGATGCTATCCGCGTCCGGGAAATTAAACTCCGGATGCTGGGCTTATAAGCGCAGTTGTAAACCCACTGCATTACCCCCCCCCCCCCCCCATCACATACACCCATGATTATACATACATTATATTGGTTTTAACAGAAAGACGTCTCTTCCCATCTCCGCCTCAGGCTTGCTTCAGCTGCCTGTGTGTCATCGCTGCGAGCCACAGGCAAGGTAAAACAAGCCCGAGGCAGATGGGTGGCTTCCCACGAAGGCTCCTTCAAGTCGCACACGTTGACGTGGCAAATATTGAGGACAGCAATTGATAGAGCTCGGACGCAGCCACCCCCCCACCACCACCACCACCCAGACCACACGTCAAGCCGCCTTGCTGAGTAAAACAATCGCAAATCGTGTTCGCATCGAGAGAATCGTGGAGCCACGTGAGTTGGCTGTGTGGCTCAATGATTGTTCAGTGCCGAGGTGCGGACAGCGCTCGCGTTACGCTGCAAAGTAGAGAAAGTGAACGCAACCCCGGACAGACGGACGGAGGTCATTGCCGTGAGCACACCGCCGTCTCTTCGTTGTACAACCTCCGGCACGAGTCGCGGTGATTTGTTCCGAGCGGCCCATTGGGCAAACTTGCGAGCGGACCAATAAACCACGGGACATTGCTTCCTTCGCCTGTATTCAAACCGATTCGTTCGCCCGAACGAACGCATCTTCTTTTTTGAACTGCACATGGACAGCGCCCTTTTTTGCGTACGTTGCTGTATCGTTCACGTGCGCTGGTCATGCTTGCTTCGTTCGCGTGCACCGACACGCCGAATGAATGTGCGTGCACATCACGAAGCAGCACGTGAGTCCACGTGGAGTGTATAGGCACGTACGCACGAACGCGCGACTCCAGGCGATAACATTACGATTTTAAACGTTTCAGTTATCCGACCGCGTACGATTTAAATGAACGTTAATCGCAAGGTTATAATATATATACCACACCACAATCAGCATTCACAAACCCTGCGCAAAACCGACAAATGTATACAAGATAGCGCACATCGGTGTCAATATAGTTAGTATGTCAACATACGCGGAGTTAATGTTCAAGACGGGATTGCTCCAAATTAGGATGATCACAAGGACACTCGTCGGCTACGAATTGTCCCGTCTTAGGCAATGACCATTAACGACAACAGCTGATTCAAAAAAGTTTACATCCGTGCCCTGCTCCTACAGCATTCAGACACACAGATCACAGGACACTGACCACAGCTTCTACTCGAGCCCACCAACAGTGAGCAGCACCAGTCCCTTCCTCATTCACCTGCAGTCAGCTCGTCTCTCGCACAACGTGGACCGAGGAGAGAGGCTATGCGAGGTGAGAGAAGGGAGAGATGACACGAGAAGGAGGAGGAGGAGTAGCAGGAGGAGATGTCGCAGTAGCGCCGCAACCTCCTCGCCAGCCCCCTTGGGAGTGCTCTGTGCCCAGCCAGGTGGGCCCTTGTTAAGTGCACGTGGGGAGGGCGGAGGAGGAGGAGGCAGAGGGGGGTAGACCCGGATGTGACCGCGTGGCTGTGTGTCTGCCCCCCTCCCTCACCCTCACCTGTCCGGGTTTGGAGTTTTACCTGCGCCGCCGTGGGTCGTTTGCATTTCGAATGTATCGTCGTCATCATCAGCACCATCCCGGTTGCCGCTGCACGCGAGTTCAAATGGCAGAAGCTATTCAAACATGCTCGCTTGAGCCGATAGCATTGGCCGTGAAATGCGATGTGCAAACACAATGCGGCTGTTGACGTGGAGTTAAAAGTGCTGGAATTTGGGTGCGCGCACCGCATTGTTCCCACGCGTGCACGAATCCGCGTAACAAACAATTTTGGGTTTGAATTGACTGCGTGAGATAATAATGGGCAAGGCACGCACACAAATCACCACGCACTTATTGTGTGGACAGCATTACAGTAATTAAACACAATTTGTGTTTTCAATATAGATTTTGTCTATGAATGTTTTTGAATGGTTAGCGCCATTGTGCTCGGAATGGTCTGCGCGTTGTACAACGCACCTGCTGGCAACTTGGGTTCGATTCACACCCACAGTTAACATCAGTGGCGAGTGCTATCTTCTGAGTCCCCACCTCTCCCTACTGCTTCACTAACCCGCATGACCAGCGTGGTGAAGTATAGGCGAACAACTCCCCCCCCCCCTACCCTTTACTACTGGCCGAAAAGTTGCACAAAGTTTAAAGGATCTCTTGGCATAATGTCTGATAGTATACGTTATGTAATATTTATATTTATGTATGCCTATCAATAGGGTGTATATACCATTACAGTACATGTTTTTAAAAGCCGAAATGTGTCTAGATACTAGACTTGTATGAAGGGTGTGTAGGCATATGTCTACAAAATATTTTTTTGGAGGGTCGACAATTGTTGTAAACCTGTTGTATCAACTTTTTACCCCCAAATCTGTGGGGGGGGGGGGGGGTCCACTTTTTATAACGTTTTGATTCAGGCCGTCTGAAAGACTCTCATCATTTAGTTGAAGGACAAACGGAACGCCGAGCTTTTATTCACAATAAATATCAGACAGCCAAACCACCATACTGCACTGTAAAAAAACACTTCTATTACTGCTGATTTCCTCCAGCCGTCTTTCTTCCCAAGTGCTTATAACCTTACTAACTCTTATCTATTGTACCTTAAATAGTGCCGTTTGTTGTCACCAGCTTGGCGTTTGCGGCCTTATGTCCTGCGCTCAGCGGCTGTGATTAAAACAAACGCGGTTGTGGCTGCGTATGCAGAGTAGTGTGTCGCATGAATGGTGAAAACTGCTCGGTGATGATTGAGGTGTGTTAACAGATACCGACGATACACTGAGTGGCCATTCATGAACAAGAAAGAAAAATCGTGTCAACGCATGTATTCTGCAGTACTTTCCAACAACGTGCGTCTGTCCTCTTGGAATCAGTTCATGAGCCGTAATAACGTTACCTTCTGAGTCGCACAACGAGAACAGGTCACAACCATTTTGATAAATTCTCGCCGGTTTGATATAATATTCTTGGTTCTTTCGGTAAAGTCACGTAGGAGGGAAATAATAAAAAAATAAAAATTCTCACGACGTTTCGATTGCAACACAAGCAATCATCATCAGGTGTGAAAACCACAGCAATAAAATTATTATTTCATTATTTCCCTTCTACGTGACTTTACTGAAAGAACCAAGAATAAGAATCCCTGCCGTCACGAAAGCTTTAAATCGAGGTTTGATATAAGTTAAGTCCCTCGTGGTAACACAACTCTATACTAAAATATTATTTGCGCAGACTGAGAGAGAGAGAGGCGGACAGGGCGAATTCGTTGTTCACGCTTTTAATATTATATTTGGAAAGCATTCGGAGAGCTAAACCGTCAGCTGTCACCGGGTGCGTGATGCAATGTTCCCGGAGTTGGGCGTTTCTGTGGGTGAGCTAAGTGCATTCAGGCACAAACCAGACCCGCCTCGGGGGCATGAATAGTCGCCAAAGATTATGCCATTGGAAACATAATCGTTCGGAGAAGTTTCTTCAATATTTGCACACGAGGCGTTTTCAAACAGTCCGTGTTTAAACAACTCCACATATATTTTCTTGCAGTTGTTTTCATCTGCAAATACCGATAATCTACTAAGTTGAAGGGATCAACCTACCTCATTTATGTTGGGTAATTTTTTGGTATACA